AAAAAAACAATTCTTTAGGTTATTCTGCTTCTTACTTAAGAGTACAATAAGTAGAACAGACATGAAATAGTAGGGCCAAGTCAAAGTAAAAATCATGATTTTTCATACCTAACGCCTTAAACCAAATTGACTCGTAAGTGAGAGAAATTTCAACTGAAAAAAAGAGAGAACAAATATCCTATCACCTGAATCCTAGTCTGAATGTGTTGAAGTCATTTCCCTACGCACCCTCTTCATCGGAGATACGAATAGCTCCCTCATTGCCGACACCATGCGACCAGAATCCTTCCATGTAGAGTGCACTGCAGTAATTAGCATGTCGTCATACCGAGATTCAGGTTGAGACTTACATCCCAGGCGAACTCTCATGAGTGAACAGAAGCCAGTATCCAAGGATACCTTGCGTAAAGACATCTTGGATAGCGAAAAGGATAGTCTCCGTGTCAACACTCAGTCTAAGCGCAAGAGCACCAGCCGCGAGGGAACTACCCAACATTAGCATCGGTTCTGAACTCAAGAATACTCTTTTGGATATATCACTCACATAGGGAACAGTGCCAACATGGCAATTGCAGACCCAGAAACAGACCCGAAGAACCGTCTTGTCTGGACATCCTTGCTCTTCGCCGCCCGCTGTGCGTGGAAGCCAATGTGGTGGATCACGACCAGGTAGGAGATACATGTGAGGGTCAGCCAGACCCAGCGCTCGCGGCCGTGTCCTGAAAATATGCCGAATATAGCTGTTGTGAGCATGATCAGGTGGGCGACAATGGCGATGAGTAGGTTTGCGCCTGGTAGGCCGGATAGAAGGGCGAGGTTGATGAAGAGCAGGGGTGTTGTGATTGCCCAGTTAACAAAGCGCAGCCATAGGATCTGGCGAGCGTAGTCTGTGTGGGTGTCCGGGACATGTTTGTGGGATTCGTGGACTCTGTCGTGTTTGGTTATTATGCCCTGGCCTGTTGAAAGAGCTAGGTAGATCACGAAGGAGATTGTGGTTATCAGGGAGGTGAGGATATGAAAGATTCGTTTAGACTGGACATATGTTAGATATGTATGAATAATAGAAGAGAGCATATATGATATAGAAGAGATGAACTCACTAGAGGAGCACGAGCGGCCAAAGTATAGAACACCAGCGAGGAAACGCCCATCAACACAGTGACAACCCTATAAATGTTAGGATAATTAAACATTTGAATACATAGTATAATATATACATACCAAAGAGTTCGCTTGCCTGCATCATGAAGTTCCTGGTAGACCTCATACCCCGGAATGATAGTGGGAATAGGCGCCACCGAGGACGTGGTGGCGGGCGCCGTTAGAGTAGCAAACTGATCAAATGGAGGTTGAATCATGATGAATTTAGGAAGTTGAGTAGAGGAAGAAGAAGAAACGAGAAGAGCAAGACTATATAGATGACATGATGTTGCATCAAAGCAGGATTTGGGGATGATTGGGGCGACCGTCATTGACTGGATACTGTCGTCATAGCCATTTAGAACATTCACTGGATGGACAAATAGATTGAATACATTAATTACATGGACTATTTCTTTCAGTCTAGTTTTCAATGTGAATGTTAGATGTTTTAGATTACTGGTTGCACTGCAGTTGGTAAATTGGCTGCTCTGTCCAATCACCTACAGCTAGCTATAATACATGGAAATAAGTATACAGATTTGTACAGTTCTCTAGGCGTTTGCCTCATGTATCACTGTCTCACACCGGTTGCAAATCGCATCTTCGATCGCCACCGGGTCCGGAATGGCGTACCGCCAACACCGTGGGCACTTGGAGGCCTGTGGCGCGTACACATACACTTTGCCTGGCTGGCCACTCAGCTCAAATGTCTCCTCATATTGCCATTCGGCGTCCTTAATGTCGGTCGGAATAGCTTCACCGTGGGATGACAGGGTGATGGAAGACACGACGAAGAGATCAGGGAGCTCCGACAGATACTGCTGGAATAATCCAGAGCTGCTGGGGAGCACAATGTGAACAAAGGATTGCAGGGAGGAGCCAAGCTGCTTTTTACTACGGGCCTGCTCCTGCAAGTTCTTAATGGCAGAGTGAACCACCGTCAGCTCTTGGTAGCTGGTGTCCAGGGTCAAATCCTGCCACTCCGGAGCGGGGGCGGAGACGATACGCTGCAGGGGGTGCTCAGACTGGGTGCGGATAGACTCGGGAGTATGTTCCCATGTTTCTTCCACAAGCACTGGTGTGATGGGAGCCAGGGCCTCTTGAAGATAATTGTAGATGTAGAATAAGGTCGTTTGCGCAGCCCGGCGACTCGTGCTGTCCTCACCAAGGGTGTAGAGGCGGTCCTTGATCGCCTCCATGTAGAAAGCAGAAAACTCGAGGTTGGCCCACCGGTTCATCGTACTCACGCCCTTGTAGAACTCGAAGTTGTCACTTGTCTTCTGCGACGTGAGTACCATATCCGAGAGGTGCTTGAGTGCAATTCGGTCGACCAGCTGCAGCTGTTCATATGGGACAACGTTCGCTGGACTGAAATCGGCAAGGGCACCTAGCAGCAGTTTGAAGGTGACACGGAACTTGTGGAGACTGGTATTGACGGTCTGGAGTACTCGTTTTCCAATCACCACGTCGCGCGTGTAGTCGCTGCTCGCTGCCCACATGCGAAGCGCATCGGGGCCAAGAGCGTCGTACACCGGTTCTTGGTTCTCGGGTTGCTTCTTTCCTTTGCCTTTGCGGGGTTTGAGGGGAGGCAGCAGAGTTCCATCCATGATGGTCTGCGGGTGGATTACGTTGCCAATAGACTTGCTCATCTTCCGCCCGTGTTCATCCAGGGTGAAACCGTGCGTGATGAGGTTCTTGTATGGCGCACGAGGCGTCGTGAATTGACCCGAGCCGAGCTGGTGCGAGATATATGTGAGAAGAGAGGACTGGAACCAACCACGGTGCTGATCGGTACCTTCAAGATACACGTCGGCTGGATGACTCCGTCCTTCGATAGGAACATCGATCTCTGCCCAGCTGGTACCACTGTCAAACCAAACGTCCATGGTGTCCATTCCACGTCGATACCCCGCTCCAGCCTCGTCCCGCAAGAACAGAGGAATCCATGCAGCATCATCCGCAGCATCGGTCCACCAAGCATCGATTCCGCGCTCTTCAATTGTGGTCATGATATGTGAAATACTATCTTTAGTCAAGACGGCCTCTCCAGTGGTTCGGTGATAGATTGCAGGAATCGGAACACCCCACGCACGCTGTCGCGAGATACACCATTCACTCCTGTTTTTCACATAGGCTTCGAGTCGTTGCTTTCCAGTCTCGGGAACGAACCGGACATCTTCCAAGGCTCGAAGAGCATCGCCACGGATATCGGCCACATCGGCAAACCACTGCTCAGTTGCCCGAATAATGACCGGAAGTTTTGAACGCCAGTCGTAAGGATACTTGTGCTCGTACTTATGTTGGGCAAGCAACTGACCACACGATTCGACCCATTCCAAAACAGCGGTGTTACCTTCTCCCAAGACAGATTTTCCAGTTAAACGTGTAGGGTCGAGGGGCATAGCTTTATCTGTGTATTTGCCCTCATCGTTGACGGGAGCGAACACAGGAATGCCACGCGCAAGACATGCTTCGTAGTCTTCCATTCCGTGACCAGGCGCGCTATGAACCAGGCCAGAGCCAGAATCAGCAGTAACAAAGTCCGCGGCGAAGATGGGCTGCGGCTGAGCTTCGGGTCCTTTGAATAGAGGTCGATAGGTAGTTCGCTCTGCCAGCTCGGACCCCATGATAGACGGTACAATGACAGAGAGTTCTTCTTTCAGCATATTCTGGATGTACTCTAACCGTGATTGAGCGATCAGAAGATGACCATGTTTTTCCGATAAGACAATGGTGTATTCCAAAGACTCGCTGATTGTAATGGCAGCATTGGCAGGCAGCGTCCAAGGGGTAGTGGTCCAAATCACAGCATTCAAATCCTTTCCACGAAGAAGAGGATTCTCAGAGAGACACGTAGGGATATCGATAAGAGGGAATTTGACTAGGGCGGCGGTCGAGATGTGATCCTCCTTGTATTCCAGTTCTGCTTCCGCAAGAGCGGTACCCGTTGAAGGCGACCAGTAAACTGGCTTGAACTTTCGGTAGATGAGGCCACGGTCCACCATTTCCCGGAAGATACCCAGTTGCCGCATCTCGAATTGTTTGTCCATCGTCTTCCAGTGGTTCTCCCAGTCGGCCATGACCGCGAAGCCACGGAACCCTTTCATTTGTTCTTTCACGGCTTGTCTTGCCAATTTACGCGCGGACGTGCGAATATCCGCTGCGCTGACTGATCCGCTTGCGATGTCCTCAGGGCGCAGGCCTTGGAGCGCTTTGAGCTCGATCGGCAGTCCATGGCAGTCCCAGCCCGGCACGTACCGCACCCTCTTCCCGCGACCTAATTGTACGCGACAGATAATATCCTTCAAAATCTTGTTGAGCGCATGTCCAACATGGAGATCGCCATTCGCATATGGCGGGCCATCATGCAAGACGAATGGTTGATCGGCGGGCCTTTCGCGGCGTTGCCAGGCGTAGAGATCATCGGTGCATCGTTTTAGGTATTTCGTCCGATCGATAGGCGATACGCGTGGAGGGAATGAGGATTTAGGCAGTTTCAACGTCGAGGTCCATGAGCGAGGGATTGCCCGCGCCAGTTCCGGCATTGTCCAGCATATCCTAGAAAGTGATGAGTGGAAGGTCAGGAAGAGAAGAGTCTTGGCGTTTTACAAAACATGGCTATTCCAAAAAGGGTTTAGACTCCGCCGGACTTGGATACTTGATCGGACACTGCATGTTTGCGCCTAACATTCACCTTCTATTCCAAGCAGAGGATCTTTCAATATGGCTCGTCCAAGGAGTATACCACCTGAAAGTACGGTCGAGTCAGGAAATTGCTTCTTTGATGCTGTTCCACCCCCCAATAACTCTACGAAGAGCTTCGTCTTATCATTCCAAGATAGGGGAACTGCTGAGTTTTATTCTCCCCTCTCTATCTCTTTCACAGCTTGATCATAAAAGCCCAGCTTTCCAACACTAGTATACGCCCCATACAAATAAGCTATAGCCTGGCTCCTCTTGCTGCTGAGGCAATCCGAAAGCACACTATCGTCAAGCTCGGCTAATCTGACCATTTCGATATACTCTTCTCGCTCGCGCCACATTTCTCGAATTTCCTCATCGAACGGCTGCCCATCTTGATCGTATTTCTGGGGCAGGTCGAAGGAGACAGGCATGGCTGTAAGGAGCTCGGGGAACGCAATAAGCTCATAGGGAACCGTACATGCGCCTTCCCAGTCGATGATTCCCGTCACATCGAAGCTCTCATCCACCATGATGTTACTATGAAGAAAGTCATCATGGTCTAGAGGGAATGGCCCTTCGTTACACGAGGATAGCCGGCTAGCCATAGCTTTGGTTTGTAACGGGAAATTCTCGATAATCGCGATCATCCGTTGGAGAAACAATCTGTAGAAAATACATGCATGTAGCTAGACAGGTTACTTTGGTGACGAGATATAAGTGCTGACCGCCTTGGAAGGTGGAACCATGGTTCCTGTTCATAAATATGATTAGTCAGAAAGACTACAACCTTCTAAGTATACATGGGTAACTACGACCGACAGCTGGTCGAATGTTAGAATGGGACCGCTAATTTTTAGCGCCTCTTGGCCCAGAGGAACATGTATTAATCCGAATTCCGAGAGCTCGGCGAATGTCAGACATCAGCGAATGTCGGGATTCTTTTAGGGGTTATAATACCCTAGTACAGAAGAAGATAGGATTTAGTGGTAAAGATAATACTGTAAATAATGATCACGGGGTCTTTATGAACGTCTATTATAAGCTATGAAGACATCCTAGTATAAAGAGAGATCTCGACATTCGCTAAGACCCCTCTGAGCAGATAGATGGTCGAAACGCGGATTAACACGGATTAATATATTTTCCTTCACGCTAAATTAGCGGTCCCATTCTAACATTCGATCAGCTGTAAGCCCGGGTAACTATAGATCAAAATAAAATCTATTAGCTTTTTACAACTACAAATGAAGTTAAAATAGCGCTTTTTATATTTGGATCAACCCTTATACCTTCTTGGCATAGCTATGGACCTTCCAGGGTTAGGTTTTAGCGTTATATAATCCTGCATCCCGCCCGGGCTACTGAGGCACTCTAACCCCTCATCTACAATTGCAACCCTCCCAAGTCCTTCTGTTCACTATACTGGCAACGATATCGATACTTAACAAGTGTGAGTAAATTAAAGGCCCTTTATACCAGACTCATATTAAGACCCAGGGCAGATCTCTATCATTGCCTTGAAAGAGAAACCTTAAATCGGCTACTCCTACACCTCCTACACCTCCTAGGAGAGTTCATTTTTACTCTCACAGCTAACCTCTGTGTTAAATATCTCTTCATCATGGATCTTCGATCATGGTTGTTTGAGGCATCCATCTCATCTATTACTTCCATCGACTTGGATCAATTTCAAATCCCACGCCAAATCCCGAAAGAAACAACCGAGCAGTTGACAGCTTTTTGCTTCAAAGGAGATATACAATCCTTCAATGATACTATCGCTCTGCTTCCCTCGAGCCCGAAACATCGAGGCTTTGCCATACAGGAACTTGTCCCGGTGATAGTAGAGGCAATCAAACAAGACAACACTCAATTCATTTCAGAACTTCTCGACCGTGGGTTTACGATACATTCACGTTTTCCATTGGAAGCAATGAAATGTAAATCGAAGAAAGCGCTCAAATGCTTCATGCAAAAAGGATGGGACATCAATGAACCTATAAGTGACCTTGACCCCCCCGTTCTCAGGTCAGTGATTCGAAGGATGAGCAATCTGCTTTTTTTTTTTTTGAAAGGAAAACACAATAACAACTCGTTACTATAGCTATGCAATCTATGATGAAGAGATGACCAACTGGCTTCTAGACCATGGAGCAAATCCCAATCAACGATGTGACATTGACTGTACTCCGCTATCTTATGCTGTTCAGCTAGCTCCTATGAACATCATCGAGCTCATGCTAAGCCGCGGAGGTGACGTGCAACAGGGACAGCTCCTTCAATATGCCATTTATCGGCGGACAAATCTCAATGAAGTGTTGGCGCTACTTATTGATAAAGGTGCCCCTTTGAACGTCCCAATGTATCAGGATTATCCAACCTTTAGGCGGTTCTATCCTGTGAGTTTGGGCACCCCTTTACACTAGCAGCAGAGCTTGGGAAACTGGATGCAATAAGATTCTTGCTCGGTCGAGGAGCAGATACTAGCATCGAGGATGGAAATGGTCGTACAGTCATTGAGTGGGCAAGAAAGTTGAATCAAACGGAAGTTGTGAGGCTATTGGAGAATGGACATTAGGTATCAATTCTACAATTTACATCTACAATCCAGGTTTTGAATGGTCACATATAGTTTCACATTAAAACATACCAAGCCAGGATTATCATGATTCATAATGCATTGAGATATAGTGAAAAGTGCTGGGTGCAATAGTCTTAAATCAGTACACTGTCAAACAACTCACGGCGCCATTCTTGAGAACTTCAAATAAAAGCCCCGGGAACCCAAAAAGCTCGGTATTACCTAATCCTCCATCCTGCCCATCGGCACCATTCCGAGGACCTTTGGCTGTGGTCTCCTCCCAACCACCAAGGAACTCAACACTGCTCTCGGGGCTATCTCCCCAGCCGCGGTTCAGTACCATTGGCCGCTGCAGAGCACGCTCCTCGGCGGGGCTGGCGTAAGATCCTTTCCAAGTAGCCCGCAGCCGCTCCGAGATTTCATCGTATGTCGATTCCGAAGTCAGACAATCGCCAGATTCATCCAACGAGATTAACCAGCGACTTCGGCGGTGACGATTAAATGGATAAGAACCTGGGACGTTCCCATGAAGAATAATCTTTGTCACTGTCAGCTGGGAAGATGGTGGCTGAGGCGATGGATCTGGAAGGCCCGAGGCGGGGAAAGCAGGTCCAGGTGTAGTCGGATACGAGATGAAGGCATCGAATCCATGGTGGAAGTAGTTCAAAAAGCATTCTGCTGGCAGTGAGGTGGGGTCTCCGATATTGAAGGTAGCCAACTCTTCGTCAGAATCATCAGTTACGCTGTTAGTGGATGAGTGGTCGCCGTCCGGGATGTCTATTCCTCTGCCCGGAGAGGGACTCAGGTGAGAGTCCCCACCCCCAGTTGCACGGTGAATCGAGATTCGGCGGTCGTTCTTACGGTAGACTGCGTCGGGTGGACCGAAGTCTGCAATCAAGTCCTGGGGAGTCGTCTCCCCCAGTTTTATGTATAATGGAGAGCCCGTCCTGCGAGCCACTTCAAGTTCCCCAGCACCGAGGACATGCCACTCCTCGATTTCATCCGCCAGCGATTCTCGGGATTTGCCAATCAAAGCCGACGAGCGTGGGTACTGTGCCTGTTGTGTGAACAACTTGCCTCGGGCCTCAGGCCATGATGTCCCTTGGAAGATTGACATGGATGTGGCCGGGAGCGCAGCTGAGGAAGATAGCAACGCTACAAAATCACACTGATCTGACCAGGCAGAGTGCTGAAGGGGAAACGAGAATGCAACTCCCGGATAAGAAAGGACGTAGGTTCCATATGGCGACTGTGGATCTGCCGGGGGTACGTATTCTCCTGGGTATGAGGGGCCAAACAAGCGATTGTAGACGTGCCGGAAGCTAGGGCCGTGCGAGGACAAGGGTTGTTCTGCTGACTTCCCACCTTTGAGCACATCCTGGTTTTTGTATACCAGGTTTACTCGAGAGAAGTCGACTACTTCAATCAAACGGAGCCTCTGGTCGGGACCGTCAAATCGAAGGCGCAGGCCATTTGAAGGTAACTGCAATATCACCGGCTTGCGAAGCGGATCTGCGGGGGAGTAGGCTAGGTCGATGGCGGGATAGGTTTGGGGATAGGACTTGACGCGGGTAAGGACATTATGGAGTGAAGCACCCAAGGCTTCCAGAGTATTAGCGAGAGCTGCTGAAAAGGCTGCGAGGTTAGACAAAGAAACATACTGATAAACCCCAGTCCTTTCCCAGGGAAGATTTGCGCCTGGGCTGAGGAAGTAGAGGTAGTCATAATGGTTTGTTCGTTTTCATGGCCCGGTGTTCATGGGTGGACAAAAGTCCATACGATAGTCGAGCTTTGTGTAGTAAAAAGGGGAGGCTCTGGAGATGTAAGGGACGGTATGAGGGGGAGGGATAACGATAAGAGAGCGATGACGATAGCGCAGCCGACCGAGTCATGTGCGAGGGGAGATTGATTGGATTACGTAATGTTTGTTTATGTTGCTCCCGTTTGAGACGAAGCTCCACTGATATACACAACCGTGAAAGACTCCGACACAGCTTGTGAAAATATCAAATCAAAAGATCAACTCAACTTTCAGACGGACCCTCGAATATTACTGCTAAATAATCCCACAATTACATTCCGAGTGTCGCATTGTCAACATGGCTGGCCCACCAAGGCCTCCATCCACCCTCCCCACCACGAGGAGGTCAGGTTTGCGCCAACCAGTTCGACGAGCGGGTTCGGCAGTCCCAGAACGCCATGCACTACCTGGGGTGTCTACGCCGTCAGTGAGGTCCTCTGCGATAAGTGCAGCTCGTGTGGCGAGGAGCCCAGAAAAATCGGGCGCTGCGAATAAGAGGAGGGAGAAAGATTTCGAACGGGAAATCAACGAGGACACAAGCATCCATGTGGTAGTCCGGTGTCGCGGTCGCAGTGATCGCGAGATTAAGGAGAATAACGGTGTAGTCTTGTCAACACCAGAGGGTGTGAAGGGCAAAACCCTCGATCTCTCGATGGGACCGAACGCGGTTTCAAACAAGACATATGCTTTTGACAAGGTCTTCTCCCCGGCTGCCGATCAAGCTACTGTCTACGAGGATGTGGTTGTACCGGTCCTCGACGAGGTTAGTATAGTCGCCGCGAATCAACCCAAAGGACCGCGCTAATTCCTTGCAGATGTTGGCAGGTTACAATTGCACAATCTTCGCTTACGGACAGACTGGAACAGGAAAGACATACACCATGTCAGGAGACATGAATGACACATTGGGCATCCTCTCCGACGACGCAGGAATTATTCCGCGTACGCTTTACGCCCTCTTTCGCAAGCTGGAGGACACAGAAAGCACAGTGAAATGCTCCTTCATCGAACTTTATAACGAAGAACTTCGCGATCTTCTGTCATACGACGATAGCACCAAGCTCAAGATTTTCGAGAATGAGAAGAAGGGAGGACACGGCACAATGGTTCAGGGCATGGAGGAGACTTACATCGACTCTGCGTCCACCGGAATCCGATTACTTCAATCGGGCAGCCATAAACGCCAAGTGGCAGCGACAAAATGCAATGACCTGAGTTCCCGAAGCCATACAGTTTTTACCATCACCGTGCTCACAAATCGCACGACCGAATCTGGGGAGGACTATGTCAGCTCGGGCAAGTTGAACCTGGTTGATCTCGCGGGTAGCGAAAATATCGGACGGAGCGGTGCAGAAAATAAACGGGCGACGGAGGCAGGTCTCATCAACAAGAGTCTACTCACTCTTGGGAGGGTGATCAACGCTCTGGTGGATAAGAGCTCCCACATTCCTTACCGAGAGTCGAAACTTACGAGACTGCTACAAGATTCACTTGGAGGGCAAACAAAAACATGCATCATCGCCACCGTCTCGCCTGCCCGAAGCAACCTAGAGGAGACCATATCTACCCTTGATTATGCCTTTCGAGCCAAGAACATTCGCAACAAACCCCAGATTAATTCTATAATCACCAAAACTAAGCTTCTGCGAGATATCGGGATGGAAATTCAGAAGCTCAAAAGCGAGCTCATTGCCACCCGGCATCGCAATGGTGTCTATATGACGCCTGATGCGTTCGAACAAATGACGATGGAAAGTGAGTCGCGCCGCATCGTCAACGAGGAACAGCGTGCCAAGATCGAGTCGATGGAGGCAAGCCTTCGCCACAAGGTCCAAGAGCTACTTTTGATCACGGGCAACTTCAACTCATTAAAGCATGACAATGAGGAGATTGAGTCCAAACTCAAAGAAACGCGCGATGTGCTCAACGAAACAGAAAAGTTTTGGAAGGATACGCAGGAGAAGCTGGACGAGGAGAAGATTGTGCGGAAGGCTCATCAAAATACGGAAAAGCAACTTCGTCACATTGGTGCCGGCCTGGTGACTACCTTAAATGGAACTATTCAAGACGTGAATGGACTGCACGCGAAACTGGATCGCAAAGATAACCTGGAGACTGATAACCAGAAAACATGGCAGACTTCAACCGGTGAGGTATCGCATGTCACGGAGCGAGTCGATGCTCGCATGCAGATGTTCCAGACGCAGCATGCGAAGCTGCTCGAGGAGATGTCTAGCAAAATCCACCAATTCGTAGACCATGAAATCGACACTGTGCGGTCTACTCGCTCCCACCTTAAGGATCTTGATGCATCGTTTGACAAGGCTGAGGCCGAGGCCATGAATAACACATCCACTGCCCGCGACAAGATGAATGAAGTTCTCGAGGAGATCAAGGTCCTCCGAGAAGAGGTTAAGTCCAAAGTTGGCGAAGGCCTGAATGGCTTGTCGGCTGCTGCTGCTCGAATCTCCGAAGAGGTCATTGGGGAGTTCTCAGAGTTTCACTCGCAACTTCACTCGTCATACAGCACACTCGGCAAAGACTTCAAGACCATGTTCGAGGGCATGGCAAAGCACATCGATGAACAGAAATCCGAAGTCCACAGACTACGTCTCCAGCTGCAGGCAGCTAACCGTCAGACAGTGGAGGCCAATAGAAAAGCTTCTTTCAATCTAGCACAGGTTCTCGAAGAGGAACATGCGAGTGCACAAGTCGAGCGCGAAACTCTTATGTCTCACATCCGGGGACTCCTTGAGGACTCAAGCCTGAAACAGAACAACCGCCTTCAGGGCAAATTTAATACCCTTCGCACCGACATCTCGGCATCAGGCGACTCTCTTGAGCAAGCGACTGCGCAGCACGACAGACACATTGATGAATGGATTTTCAAGGAGGAACAGTTTGCCAAGGACATTACTGCATCCAAGGATGAAATCAAAACCAGGATGCAGAATGACTGGGAGGTAAGACCGACTGACATCCTTGGGTTGCGGAATGAAACTAATGGCAGTAGACTTTCGACCAGCGCAACGCCTCAATTCATCGGGCAACGGAATCTGTGCACCAAGAGACTGTGCGGATTGTTGATGCTCAGATGAGCGACATGAGCACACAAATGGAGGCTTTGGATGACTTCGTTGCCAAAGCACGGTCCCAGAATGGCCGCTTCCATGAATCACACCTAGGCAGTTTGAATACCATGGCTAATACTGTCCGAGAGTCACGCTCAAACGTCTATGGGCAACTCAATACGTTCACTGGACGCGTCGAGCAACTCCAGGAGGATGTCGATATGCATACCAAGAACCTGGAACAAACTACTGCACCCCTACACGCTGAAGTGCGCCAGCCACTTTTGGAAATGCGGTCCAACATCCAGAGCCGCCCCCTCAAAGAGTATGTTCGAACAGGTATAACCCCTCAGAAACGACGCTACGAATACCCTTCGGAAATGCCCCAAACGGAAGCTCACGACGGTCTTCGCACTCGACACCGGACATCCAAGCAGTTTACTGCTCTGCCATTCAGTGAGGGGGGACAACCAGATTCCCCTGCTCCCACTTCGCTGCATGCTTCACCGTCCAAGAAATTCGTGTATAATGATACCCCGGAAGAGGTAGGCCACTCTCTTCCATCATTCGCAGCCCCACCATCCAACACTGGCCTTAGGGAAGTCGACTTAAACGTCGCCAGACCGGTTGTGTCTGATGGTGAGGACGTACTACCTCCCACCAAACCAGAAACCCCCGCGTTGGCCACATCCTTGGACCTGGACGAAACGCCAGAAAAGGAAGAGCCAGAACCTTCCCGCAAACGGCGCCGCTCGAACTCAACCAACAATCCCGGGACTAAACTCCCCAAAACCATGCTCTCGAAAAGGATGGCTGGCATGAAGGAGGGTCGCGAAAATATGCCCCCTTCAGCCATCGCCGGTAGTCGAAGGTTCAGAAACCGCACCTCCGATTAGGTGGACTCCATGTTATTTTTGCTTTTGGTTTTTCTCCTTTCTTGTTGATTTTTGATACCCGATAGTCGCTGGGCTTTCCACTCTGGGTCGGAGTTTTTGGCTGAGAAAACAGTGTTGGGTTGGACATTCTCTTCTATCTCCTCTTTGTCTGAGTTCCATAGAAAGGCGACTGTACATGGCGTTTCCGGTTCAACTACATTGATATTCCTATCGGGATGTCAAATTTGATCTTAATATCATACCCGATCTCCTAGTTTAGATTGATTCATCTTGTATTCAAAATATATTCATAAGGTTTACCGGCCCTAGCCTGTTGGTAGACTAGACTTAGTACAACAGCCGATGTTCCGCACGATGCGCCAAAAACAGCAAATATAAAATCATCAAGAATGTTCCCCTTCAACATTTGCAGCATATGCAGCACTATCCCCCTCGCCCTGGGTAGTCTCTTCGGCTGTGTCTTGAGAAAAGGGATGTTGCACAACTTCTTCCTCGGTATATTCTTCTTTCAAATCCACGGCCTCCGCAGCATCGATAACAACCTGCAACTCGCTCATCCGCTTCGCAAACTGGTCCATCATCTCTTCCAGTGTACGGTCCTTCTCCGTGTTACCTACCTCAATCGGCAGCCCACCTGTGCCACGGATCTTCAACATCAACCCCTGTCCTGGTGATTCGCCGGAATTGTTATTCTCAAAGGTGGGCGCCGTCGCCACTTCCGTACTGAGAACCTGCCAAGTTGACGAGAAGCTCTGCGCCGCGGTAACGCGATACTGCGGGTGTAGCTGCCCCTGATCCTGTGGAAGCACGGAAGGGTTCGCCGGTGACGAGGATATGGACCTTGTACCGCCCCCGCCTTTGCCCGGTGCTAGTTGTTCGGCTATAGGACTGGTTTGCGCTACGTCAGGTGTGTGTGGTGAGGGCTCTATGTCGAGAATGACATAATTATCTCGGATACCTGGAACGGACGGTGGGAGTAGGGTGGACTTGGCTAGGTCCGGGTCGGAGGGATCTTTCATCTCGTCCTGCAGAGTGGGCGATTGGGTCTGCGCGATCTGATCTTTCTTGGAATCGGAAAGTGCTTCTTGCTGCGCGGCCAAGCTACGCAGGGCTGCCTCTGTCACGATCTCGGTGTCATCGTCGGAGAATATGTAGTGGACCGTTGGGTGGTGGTAGTCTGAGGTATGGGCGTCTTCAATCAAGGCGAAGAACGGCTGGAATGCGGGATGAGACAGATTTTCTTTGCCTTCCTCAGAATGATCTTCGGTCTCATCCAGAGCTGCATCTTGGCAGGGCAAGGCAGTTGTTCCCGGGGGTTGATGAGTTTCGTCTGTTGATGGGCGGCCCTCAGGCAGTTGCCCTCTGGACTGTCGATCACTTGGCCGCGAAGAGGCGGTGCCTGGTCGAAACAGTGTTTCTTTGTGCAGGGACTGCCTGGACGAAGAAGAGGATAGGGAAGGATGATAGGGAGAGTTGTTCAGAGACATCTCCATAGGCCAAGGCTACATCATTCTGGAGAGAGCTTAGGTTTAGGACGAGGTTCCGTATCGCGTGCGGAGAGCTTCTTATCGATAGCGCCACGTGACGATCAGACGAGAGACGCCAACGGCCGGACCTTCCGAGGGGATCAAGCGACTTTGATATTGGTATATGTGTTACCCTGAGACGTCGGGGTTATTCTGCATTCTTCATGATGATTGTATATATATGGTAGCTGGTAGGCTGCTTGGGGCTTGGGTATTGTATGAGTCGACTAATCTATGGCGCGATCTGCAACAATATATATCGACAAATGGAAGGTCGAATACGAAGTATAAACTCGTTTTGACCAAAGTCGCTCCAACCACGGGATTAATTTGATGCTCAGTTGAGATTGAGGTCCCACCAACTCTTCCAATCTAAGTTTGCGCCCAATAAAAATGCAAAGGGGTATCTTGAATTCGTCCGACAACGCCTTGATAACCATTGATGAGAAGAAGAAAACACAAATTGGGCCGTTATTCCTTGTCCTTCCATTCGAATTCTGGAGACAGTTAGCTCGATATCACATAGACAATGCAGAGTAAAGCTTGCTTTGTCGGCACATTGGACATAGTCCCTTGGAAGATTCCAGGTCAATCCAGGTCATTAAGCAGTGCTGTTTCCAAAGTGTTGATTAGTCTAGGGATAGCTCATATGCCCACTCCGCAGTCTTACCATATGGAACGCGTGGTTACATCTTCCTTGCACTACAATATTCACCGTGGTCAGTATTCAGTATGGAATTGGGAGTCAAAGGTTCACTCACCAAGTGCGCAGTCATCGCCGGGGAATTTGCAGGTTGGACAGGTGCCATCGAACTGGACACGACAGATGCCACACACCTCGTCCTCGGGGATATTCCAATGCCAAGTAGCGACGGCATTCCATTCTTTAATAGCGACCTTCATTGTGGGGTGGGATAGTGGAGAATCAAGAAAGGTGAAGAGGGAAAAGCATCGGTCAACACCGCTTATCTCCCCTATCAGCCTCCTATCACATGTCCACTCTCCGCACCTCCACATATGCCGCCATAACACGCAATAGTACTCCTCTTATTGCTCTTCCCTGCTCTTCCGCTTCCTCTTACTCGTGGTTGGTCTGGCTTGCATTTGGATATTTCCCCGAGTCTTTGCTACCTCGTTATGTAAATTGGTCTTTTAAAAAGCTTCTTTCCTCTCCACCATGGCTTTCACTGCCAGATCCTTTGCTTCTGCTCGTCTCTTCCGCCCCAACATGTCGGTCTCCACAGGGCTCCATACTCAGCGCAATGTCTCTTTTTCTTCGTATCTAGTGACCCCAAAGCAGCTGAATGAAGCACTCAAGAAGAATCCCCGGACAAAGATCTCAACTTCCCCGCGCGTGATTCCTCTCTGTGCAGCATGGTTCATGCCGAACGACCCAGAGGGGCGCAATGGAATTGACTCGTTCCGTAACTCGCGCATCCCCCAGGCCCGATTCTTTGACCTTGATGCTATCAAAGATCAAGATTCACCCTACCCACACATGCTTCCCACTTGCGAGACCTTTGCCGAGGCCATGAGCGAGTTGGGGATCCGTCGCGACGACTCGGTGGTGGTCTACGACACTGCCGACCTGGGCATATTCAGTGCGCCGCGTGTAGGCTGGACCCTTCGTGTTTTCGGCCATCCCAATGTACATATCCTCAACAACTATCGTCTCTGGATCAAAGAAGGTCTTCCGACTGAGAGCGGCGAGCCAGCGGTGGTGGAGAAGTCGAAGTACTCTGTTCCGACGTACGACTCGCGACTAGTGATCTCCTTCCGAGAGATGAAGGAGTTAGCATTTGACTATGGCAAAGAAGGTGCAGAGGAAATAGAGATCTTAGATGCACGCTCCTATGGTCGCTGGGCTGGAACCGATCCAGAGCCGCGCCCTGGCCTCTCTTCGGGCCATATTCCTGGCTCCAAGAGCTTGCCCTTCCAAGAACTCCTCGACCCTGAAACCAAAGCCTATCTCCCCGTTGAAGACCTGCGAAAGGTTTTTGAAGACCACAAGGTGGATCCAAACCAAACAATTATCAGCTCGTGTGGTACTGGCGTGACTGCCTCCATCATTGAGACAGCTCTGAGTGAGGCCGAATATGGCGACCCAAACCTGCGTCGGGTATATGACGGCAGTTGGACGTAAGTATAACAAAGTTTCCCTTGTACTTCAAATGTTGCTACTAGTACTAATATGAACATCAAAACCAGTGAGTGGGCGCAACGAGTGAAGGAATCGGACGGCCTCATCAAGAAGGTGAAGTCATAGGCTGGGATGATGGCTTTGGAACCCTTTTCATTCACAAATATGATCTTTTCTTTCTTTCTCTTCCTATTCTTAGACTGTATCCCTCTTCGATATATAGAAACCCTCACTTCTCTCTTTAAATTCCGTCTTGTTCCTATAACGCGCTTAGTCAGCATATTTCCTTCTCTGCCCATCCCATCATTTCTCGAGGTGCGTTCTTTGACCCCAAGCAGACAGTATTGTTACAAAGATGCTGCAGATGGAAACATCCTGTCAACTGGATTCTCATCGTGAGTGAAAATCATGGCTCTATCAACCGACATCCCACTACTCCCCTTACCCCCCCCACATTCCCAGGTCCCTCCATCATCAAACCTCCTTCCTCAGCTCTAGGCCCGTGCTGACCCTGGCCCCGATTTAGTCGCGGTTGTCTACAATTCTAGTCTTGCGATATAGGGTGGTCTTTGCCCTGTATCTCCCACTCTTTACCAACATACGAACGAGTACGTTCGGTATCCGCCATGTCGACCGGACGCAAGGTCTTCCGCTGTGCCGTGGACGAGACGGCCCTCTCCACCAATATTAGCGAAATCAAGAAATGGACTACTAATGGGGCTATTGATCTCGTAGTTCCTCTCTACAGTGAGTACCCGAATGTTGAAGAGACTTTGATTGCCTCACTGCAGCGTTTGCCGGTCTAACCATTATTCTCCAATTAGCACTTGAACGACTCCATGCGCTGAAGCGAGCAGGATCGCAGATCGCCATTAATGCCCGCGAAGCGGTTCGCTTTCTTGACCGGGTCACTTCCGGCAAAGACCACATCGCTGCCGACCGAGTTCTACTCCAGGGCCCCATGGAGCAATACGAGCGCTGGGAGGAGGCCGAGAAATTCTTCCTGCCGGAATTCGAAGAGGAACCCGAGGTAGTTGACGAGACATACAATGACGAGCCAGCGATCGAAATTAGCGCCCGCAATACTTTGACCAAGAACGAGTCGGATGACCTGTCGCAGATGCTCTTGTCCAAGCTGAACTTCAAGAAGGACCCGGAGACGGTGTCGATCACCTCCGTCGGCACCCCCAGTGGACCTGGATCGCGCACATCCTCTCGCAGTTCCCGTACCAGCCCCGAGTGTGCCCAGCACGGATCCGGCAATGAAGCAACAAAGAATGACAGGACCAAGAGCAAGTCCTCTAACCACCAGCGCACCATCTCCGGATCCGTCATCCCGACCGCACCGCCCGCTCTGCGCCCATTGCTGAGCGCTCTGCTCTGGCGGTTGCATGCCGGCCCCGATGCCGAGAATTCAGCCAAGACCTGCATTCTTATCTCCAATGACCGTGCGACCCAGGTGTGGGCTCAGAAGTTTGGCATTGGTGTCAAGAACATTCTGCAGCTACGCACCGCTATCCAGTACGAGGAGCGCGAGTACAAAAACCGCTGCAAATACGTCGAGAAAACTCAGGCCCAGCCCGCTGAACCGAAGACCCTGTTGTCCTACGAGGAAGAGAGCGACGAGGATGAGCTAGTGTTCGTCCCCCGCGGTCGTGGAAAAGGAACTACTCGAGGTGCTTCGCGTGGTGGGGGTCAGCGCAAGGCTGCCCCTAAGGCTGCGCCACCTCCTGCTGAGCCTACACCTACCGTGGAAGTTCCTACCAAGCCCATAGATCCCGACTCTTTCAGCCGGTCTCTGGGCGGCGCAACCAAGCCGACCACTATAGACTTGAGTACCCAACAGGGTGTTGCGGGTGCCACCGGTGCTGCCCGTGGTAACGCTGGGGCCTCTCGCCGCTCATCCAATAGTCGCCGTGGTGGATCTTCGCGCGGTGCACGAGGCAATGGTCGTGGCCGGGGTAAGCTCTGGGTTCCTTGATTAGCATGAGCAGAACAGTCTACCTTCAAATCATCTCTTGATGACAGTAGACTGGAGTGTTTTGTGAACCAATGCATCCAGAACTGGACAGGGGTGTCTCTTTTCTCTTTGCTGGACTGCAATAAACCCCCGAATGCGGGGATCTGGATCTGGATCTGTCTTGCTGTGATTGCCTGCAGAGTGCGCTTTTCCCTCTTCCTCTGGCATAAACGATCCCAGAACCCCGGCATGATTCGGATCTCGGACACGAAAAGACACGAATCCCTTGGTGGATTCGACCCGCGGCTGTGATGCGCTGCTTGGATGATGTCTACTTCGGAAAACCTGTGCCCCCCCTTTTTCCCCTTTCACCCTTTCCTTAGGAGACGGAGATGGGAGATCGTCAAATTGCGGAGACGTTGAGACGGTTGCTTTCTGTTTTGCGCTGGGAGATGGTATGAAAGTGGATTGTATTTTTTTGTTTTATGATCTACTAGCATCCCAGTTATCCTAGATTATCCCAGATTATCCCAGTAAATTGCATTATTCTTGATATTTTCCCTTTGGTGTAGTTTCACGGTGATATGGTGTCGATGTATAGACCGCCGCTTTCCCCGCGTGATTGTCCCACGGGACCACCACTTGACTTTCGCCTTCTCCATTCCTCGACTGATTCCACTTCTTAACAACACTTTGACTATCATTACTTGCTACAAGTACAATGTCCTCCGTTCAGCAGTCTCTTCCCCCGACCTACGAGCGTCGCAACTCGCTGGAGAAACACCTCCAAACCCGCCCGGAAATGCAGGACCTCAAGAACCGCCACATCCTGCTGGACACCAATGTAGCTCCGTGAGTGCTTCCGGGAATAGTCCCACGAGTCTCGTGAGATATGATCGTTAACACAATGACAGAGCGATTCAATCTGCCCGCCAGGTGCTCGACCGCCAGCGTGCTACTGACAGTCTGAAGAAGAACCTGGAGAAGAGGCCTGAGAAGGACGAGCTGGTTGAGCGTTTGTTTTCCTTTCTTTTTCCTTCTGATTCGATATATTATTTCCCATTTCCCATTTTTTACTTTCATTTTGTGCCTGAGATTGGTACCTGAGTTCCTCTCAATATACTAACAACCCGCCAAGGTAATATCCTCCCCGCAACCTCCGCTGCCCCAGCGCTGCAGGCCCCTGCCCGCGAACTCGAGAAGCACATGCTGGCCGATAACCTCGAGCATAAGATTCAGAATCGGCCACAGCCCGAAGACCTGATTTCGCAGGGTATTCTCTCCGAGGATGAGAACCCACGCTCGCCCGTCTGATTTGGCCGTCTAGAGTCAACATGGCCGTATCTTTGGCTCTTGGTGCTATGGGATATGGGTGACACGATCGTTTTACGAAGGCGTTTTTCTTGCTTTGGTTTTTGCAATTGGAAATGCTTTGTCTTTTCCTTTCTTGCACCCAACCTGTCCCTACAACGGGCTTCTACTGTCTTTACCGTTCTGAACTAGTGATGTCACGGTGACGCACCTGTCGGTACAGCAATGTCAATATGGAATATGCGATTTTCATAAAATGTCGAAGTAAGTTATTAATAGGGGATATTAGGACATCAACCGGGAGAAGACTTGATCGTCAAGTTCTGTATAGTTCCTGGCATATGAATAGCCATGCAACCCCCCGAACTATAACGAACTACGCTGTCATTCAAAATAAGCCATCGATCATTGCTGGATACTTCATGATATGTACTTTCCTAGTAGGATGCCACCTCCATCGCGCCCGACAGATCAGGCATCCACCCACTCGGCCTCTCACTCCCACGAACGACAATCCCATACGCCGCCCGCTCAACCTTTTCCACACTGTTCTGCATCACATCCAGCTTCTTCGCCATATCCCGGAACATGTAATGCCGCTGTGGCACACTGAGCGCCTCAAATCCTGCGCGGATAGCACGTAGATCAACCACGATGCCATCTTGGGACGCAGCGACCGGCGATTTCTCGTTTTCGCTTGTTGTGTTCTTGGTCACTTGGGTAGCAGTTGTATTCCCGGAGCTCAGAGATAGAACCGCGAAGCGCATCATCTCTCCCGTGAGATCAAACAGGCCCAGTAGGTAGTCTTCTTCTGAAATGAGGATTTGTGGTGGGACGCGGGCGGAGCACTCGGCGTGCGTGATTAGAGTTTCCGTGCGTAGGTAGTGGTCGAAGGAAATGGCTTCGATGAATTCCTGGATTCCAGGGCTGATTTGGCGCTGGTATCGCCAGCCATTTATCCCTAATTGTTCGGGGACGACAGCTTCGAACAGTGCCTGGATTTGGTCGAAGCGGATTTGGTTTTCTTGGGCGATTTTAGGTGGGATGGGTTGGTTCGTTGCGCGGACTCGTTGAAGGGCGAAGATGCTAAAAGAATCCCAGTTAGTGATGCTCTTCTTGAGCTGGAAGTGGAGGCATACATCTTCTTGCTCAAGGCGGTAATGTCGCGGCTTTTCTTGATGATACGCTCGCGGCGGTCATGGTGCTCGTCCAGCTCGTCGCGGAAGTTCTCAAAGATTGACAGGATTGAAGGAGCTGACTCTGCTTCTGCCATGATTGTATCTTTAGGATGCAGCTCAAGTGGCTGGCCTTCCCAGTCGCGTTTGGTACCCATTGGCAAAAAGTTGGAGGTTGTTAAGTTCAGATCTCCCAGGGCCGATAAGATATGAGATGATCGTCTCTTAGTCGTTGTCTAAAATGTACTACATCGTATACCTATGGATATTCGTGAGAATTATGCCTGGTATTTGAAGTGCTTCTGCCTCTTAAAATAATATTGCCCACTGCTATATAGCATAGGTAGTAGCCACTCATTCAACCACTTCGCATGAGGCTTGTCCTAGGTACCGGTACCTTAGAGGCTCACTTCCAAGGCCAGTAACTCTGACTGTCTGCTCATCACCAGGGACAATGTCGATAGCGTTGTCCGCAAGCTGTACACCCTCTTGCTCCTCGAATACAAGACACTTAACCGGCTTGCAGGCACTGATCACCAACACCGTCTCACCAGATTTCCCTGTCTGCCTCTTAACCTCTACCTGTCGCTCGGACAGATTGAGATACTTCAATGGCTGTGGCCAGTCGACATCGCGTGCTACAACCTGGTTGTCCACCCATAACCGGGCAGCGAGGACATGCGGTTCTGGCTCGGCGATGTGGTCGAGAACACCTTTGATGATATCCGTGGTGCCATTGGCAGCAATGGTGATATTTTCGCGCGCGATCGGAGCCCGAATATCGCGGCCTGTGTTGACAGATAGGAATCGCAGCTCGACACTGCCTTGGACGGTCTTTGGTTGATTGCTGGCGATCCAAAGTTCGTACTTGCTGGTCTTGGGCGGTTGGGCGTGTGATACGCTCCAGTCGTGGTGCTCACGTCGGACCCCGATAGCGATCGGGTTCAAGACCCGCTTAACGGCGTAGTATGCTGGCTTCGGCTTGAGGAAGTAGTCCACGATGGCCCATGAGATTGTCGGCCAGCAGTCGTTCAGCTGCCAGAGCAGTGCGCCACCGCAGTGTCGCTCGTCGCCCCATTGCTGGCGCCAACCTCGGTAGCCAAACATCATGGTCTCTGCTTGTACAACTTGAGTGAGATATATATAGGTCTGGAGACGTTAGCCTGCATCGGTGGTCATCACGGTGGTAGTCATACCTCGAGGTCTGTGGCGGACCGAAGATTCTCTACAAGGTACGTAGCCAGTCTTCGTTCGTGACCGTCGGCCTTGTTGTGGAAGTCCACCACCTGGGATTGAGGAAATTTGTCCTCTGGATTCTCGACGAAGTAGTCAATGGTAGAGATATGGGGGAATGCCTCCATTCCAAACTCGCTGTTGAACCGACCTCCGAGGGTATCGAAAATTTGGTATTTCTCCTGCGTTCCATGCCACACTACTCTGGTGATTAGCGTAATAACTCGAGATCTGTTAGAGAACTCTGACCGTTCCACTGGTGTATATCACCAACAGTGGGATCTGACGATATCTTGCCATCTCCCCATGGACTCCCAGGGTGATAGAATGTGCCAGGAGAGTATTCAGCCACCACATCTGGGAGCAGCTTCTCGTAAATGTATCGTGCTGGGAAATCTGTTTTCAACCAGTTCTGTGGGTCTTTGTCTTCGTAGTTATAGGTCAAGCCTTCTGACTCTGCAACTTGATAGTCCTCGTTGTTGCCCGCATAGAGCACAATCGAAGGATGGTGGCGCATACGCTCCAAATTGTAGATTGCCTCTTGACAGATAGACTCGAGCATCTTAGGCCATGTGGGATAATTACCACACCCAAACATAAAATCTTGCCAGACCAGTACTCCCAATTCATCGCAGGCCTCATAGAAGGAGTCGTCTTCATATATACCACCACCCCAGACACTTGTTCAACGTTAGCTAAATCCACATAAGCCGAGAACACATAGGAAAACAAAACTTACCGTATCATCACTTGTCTGCCAGCGACCAGAAGTTCAATCCACTTGCGGTATCGCTCAGCACTAACAGCAGGGAGTAGACTGTCTGCCGGAATCCAACACGAACCGCCGCAGAAAATGTCCATTCCATTGAGTCGGACGAAAAAGGATTTGCCATGCTTGTCCGGTTGTTGAACGATCTCGGCGGCCCGGATACCAAACTTCTTAGATGTCTGGTCAACTTGTTCACCATTGCGAAGTAGCGACACCGATATGTCGTACAGAGTCTGCTCGCCATATCCATGGGGCCACCACAGAGCCGGCTTGTCGACTGGGAATGTTACTTGAGCTGTTCTCTCGGACACAGGGATAGTCTTGCTTGCAATCTCGTTCCCTTTTAAGCCAAAGCTAAACTGGGCCGTATATTCCCGATCACCGACACTCTCCACATCGATAACGACCGTTACATCAGCTGTCTGGTGGTCTGCAGATAGCTGTGTTTGGGGCCAAATATTGGCCACGCGAGCTTGATACACCTCGAACCGTACGGCACGCCAGATGCCCGCGGTCATCAACACTGGACCCCAGTCCCAGCCCCAGTGATACTGGGCTTTCCGCACAGCCAAGCGAGATGGATCACCATTGAACCCGACCCATTTATGTTTCGTGTCCTGGGATCGGAGCTGGCGTGCCTTGATGAGTGCACAGTCGAACTCAATCTCGAGCGTGTGTTCGCCCTCTGCTTCCAATGCTTTGGTGACGTCCACCCGGTGGCCCAGGAACATGTTATCACTCTCCAGGATCACTTGTTCGTCCATCTTGACCTTGGCAAATGTATCAAGACCGTCGAAGACCAGTACAATTGCAGAGCCGGCGGGGACGGATGGCTTCTCCACCACCTTTCGGTAGACCCACGTCTTCTCGTTGACCCAGCGGGCGTTCAATTCTTTGAATCCGATATAAGGATCATCGAGCCTGTTGGAAGAGAACTTTTAGATTTGAAACGTTTCGTCTAACAAACCCAGCTCACTTGTTGTTAGCAATGAGATCCTGTTGTACCACCGATGGGACCGAAGCCACTGGCAGCCATTCGTCGGTGTCCCGATCTTTGAAGGACCAGCCAGAAGACAGAGAGTGTATGATCTTAGCCATTTTGAAAAGCAATTGGCAATATACAGGAGGTTGCTTTGTCTACCCCGGACTTATACATCCATGGATAGTTAGGTGGAGACCGACTTGTCCTTATCGATAAGCCCGGAGACATCCTTTGGCCGTGTCCAAAAGGGACTAGTGTGGCACGTGACCTGTATATTTGCAACTTGTATTCTGCAAATACAGTGAAAGAATGAGAATTTGCAAAACGGCAAAATTTCAACCATATCTCCCGAGGTCCCACTCAGCAATGTCAACACCTGGGGTTCTTATATCCACCCAAGAGCTTTGTTGGCCACGGAAAAGGTCCCGTCAAGCTCAAAATAACATGCATTGTTGATGTTCGGGTTTCTTTTCCATCGGTTTCTGCTATCATAAACTTGCAGACTCTCTGGACTGATGGACCTGTATACCATCTGTTTTCCCCGTGCGCAGGCAGCTTTTTTGGGTCATGACACTGCCTATACTGAACTTATTATTATTGCACCAATTACCGTTAGTATGCATCGTTCGTCACAAGAGTCACAACCGAACCAATGACGGTTGAACATTGGCAGGCAACGGGCGTCCTGCTTCGGCTCCCTTTCATCCCACAGGCTTGGCATGCCCCGGTAACTTCCCCGGAGATCAATGATCAAAACGTGGAGCTCTGCACAGTGCTGGCTTTAAATTTACTTCGAGTTTGCCGAGTTTGACTCTCTTGGCCTCTTTGTCGCTTCGAGAATAAG